TAGAGCCAGCGCTCTGTCTCTTGCAATCCTTGACCTTGCAAGTAAGTAGGAGTGGGCCTGCATGTGTAGGTTTCTGAATGCTGTACGTGCATGGAGTATCTCCAGCCACGATTTGGCAAGATTTAAGGGACAAACGATCCCGTTGAGGGTTTCTTTTCCTTTTAAAGTTTTAGGCCTAATGAGGCCGAATAATTAATTCTTTTGCTTCTGTCCCTTTTCATTTGAATCTGCGTGAAACAAGCCGCCATAGTGCAGTGTTTCTCATTTAAAACAAAAGACAATTCTCCCTTTTCATAAATTTTGCATATATTCAAATACGTAAAATAATATTCGAATATTGAAAAATCGATCAAATATTCAGATATTCGGCACAGCACAGCCCTGATATTTTCCCCACTAAATTTGAGTGTTACTGTTAGGCCGATTGCTTTCTGATGGAAGAATTAAATCATTCACCGCTTCGAGGAGAAATGAGCCAGTTCGCTATTTCAAAAAAGGAAAGTCAGGAATGATGCACACTCGTGAGTCTGCATTGGGCCATGTAGGGCAGACTTCACTTGTGCATTCATTTTGGGCATGTGCTGTTGGAATACCAATTCACTTTTGAGAGATGCCTTCGTATGGAAGTCTTCCCCAAAGGAAGGTGTGTTTAACAACTGTGTTCAGTTTTTCAAACAGTCAGGATTGAGTTTTTAAAAGGACGTGAAAATTGGTTCTGTTTTAGGTACCCTCCCTGTCATAAGTTGAGATGGATACATGGGGTAAGGGAACCCTAAAAGGACAGGTTTGTTATGTTGAGACACTCTGCTGAGCAGCCGTACCAGGCACATGTACCTTGACCTCAGTCCAGTCTCTTTTTTTTCAGTCAGGTTGTTTGGACACAAGATTGACACTTCTTCACCTAAAGACGTCGTGATTGATGACCTGTATCAGTGTATGTCAGAATTGAACACAAACTTGGGCATCAGTTGATCGCTATTCAGTAGTGGGGAATCCAACCTTGAATAAAACTAATGCAAGCGTGAAGCACAAAGCCCTCATGGCGTGGGGTCTGGGGGCTTCTGAAAGGCTGAAAAAAAAAACTGTGGAGAGGACAAATGATATGATATCCCCACACTTTTGAAAGTGGGACGGAGGGCATGACACATGGCCCCCCCCAGTCCCCCACCAGTTGACAAGAACAGAACCGTACATGTATGTGGACTTGACACTGATGCTTCCAGATTGGACAGTTCAATACGGGCGATTCACAATAGTGCGCCTCCAAGGCTTTGCAACGCGTTAACCAATCACAGTGCTTGAAATCTGTCAACCCTTTCCAAACGCGCATTGTTTCGACAGATTTCGCACACTGTGATTGGTCAATGCGTTACAAACTCTTGGAGGCGCACTACATGTATTGTGAATGGCCCGTATTGGCAAAAATATTTTGTTGCCTGTGTGAAAATGTAAGCTGATGAGATTGAAAATATACTTTTTAAAACAGATCTCTGGAAATAAGCCTAAAATTTTGCAACAGAGCCCACCGATTCTCGTAAACAGCCAGTTTTTAGATCATCAGTCAGATTGATGTTAAATCAGTTATGCATGACCTTAACATTATCTTGTTGGTATCAAGTGAAATAGGACAATATGAACTTTTGAACCTGTTCATTAGCTACTGTGCAGTTCACCCCCAAAGCGCAGTGTCTTTTTTCAAAACACGTGCATTTCTTGTCTTTTGCAAATGTTCCGATTAAACAGACAAAAGAGCAGAGCAAGTTGAGACATGGCGGATTGTGAGAGAGCAGATCTGTCAGGTATGACAGTGGGCTTTGTAGGCGGAGGTAATATGGCGCAGTCCGTCATCAAGGGGCTACTGAAGGAAGGTAAGTGGTGACAATCAATGGGGCCACGAAAAACATTTCACAACTAAGCATGCCTCAATACTACCCTCCCCCTCGCAAGATCCTTCAAACTCCAGGAGGATTTTTGTAGATCTTGAAGGTATGAGAGAGAAGTACGTACATGTGAGGCTCAGCTGTTCAAGGAGAAGGCATTACCGTTGTGGCACCACACCCATGCACGTGTTAATTAAACTTGACATGCGCCCATATTTTGGTCAAATAGGTATGGAGTACCGAAGTGTGATATCATTTTGAACCAGAAAATGGACAACAAATGGAGTACGCAAGCATGTTGGTTCACAAACTGGTCCTGGTGCTAATGTGTTTTACACACATAATCGTGCCCATGTGTATTCACTTCAGTACCCTGTTGAACACACGTTAACTTCCTGCAAGCCAGCATGGAACCACCACATAAGAATTTAACTCTGCGCGCCGGTTCTTGCACTCGGCAGCCATTTTCACAATTTCAAGTTTTGACACACAGGTTTTTCCACAAGTGTAGTCAAGCCCCAGCTTCCCAAGCAAAAGTTATTTTTTTTTAGAAATAATGTGAACTGTCAAAAAGTGCCATGGATACTTTTCCTTGTTTATAATTTTCCTGAGTGTGTCTTGTGTTTTCCTTGCCGTCACAGATCTTGTAAAACCAGAACAGTTCCTCATCAGTGCACCAAGCGACAAGAATCTCAACAAGTGTAAGGTAATTCTGTTAAGAATGTGGGTTGGTTCTGGCTAATGCACTAGAGGGCTGTAACTGAGATATACAAGTTCATGCTGAATTTGACCAAAACATGCGTTGCAGTTAGCCTTCTTTTCAATTTTTGCGTCAATAGCTTTAAAGGTACTTCAGTGCCTTTTCGGTTTTTCTGCTAATGGATATTTCCATATTCATTGGCACATCTGTGATGTCATTTCCTGGGAGAAAACCTCATTGCTGCATTGAAGTTGTATTGAAAAATGCTGCTCTTTTGTTCCTCATGTTCGGCGATTCATCATTGCACGAGTACATCCTGGCACGAAGTCAGTAAGCAATTCTCTCCCGAAAATATTTTCAGTGAGTAGAGTTTGCGTTTACAATTAGAACAGAAACCCCACAAACTGAGCAGTGCCTTCCCTGATCATTTGACCTCACAGCAACAGTGCCCACTTTTGTCCAGCAATTTTAAAGTAAAAGAAAAAAACCCAAACGGATGTAGCTTTCATATATTTAAGAAGGGTGCAAAGTTGCACTGAAAGAATGTCTAAGAAAACTTCATTGCCCGGACTCTTTTTTAAACACTTGCTGCCGGGTGCTTTTAAAAATGCAGTGCACACATACGGGCAGTTTTCAAGATTTTCAGTTTTCAATATTCTTCAAAAAGTCATCATTTCATTTAATGGACATTTACACCCACACGAATGACTGTTGCCTACACTAAGCTGACAGGTAACCTTCCTTGACTCCTCGGTATGTCAGCCAGGCATGTCGCCCTTTAAAGAGAGCCTAGAATGGTGAGGTGTTACGTAATTTCCTTTGCCCCCAGTGGATGCGAGTGGTGTCTTTTCAAACGTGGCTGGATTAGCATGCAGCGGTACTGTGTCGCTCATCAATGGGGCCCTCAAGCACTTTTGTCTACGGTGCTAATCCACAGGCGTGCTATGCCCAAAACAGTGGTATACTGTTTAAAAACAGTGACGGATTACCTTCGAAAAAAGCAAGCCGAAAAATGATGGCAATTCCCAACGCCAAGTCTTTTGTTACACGGACCAGCTCTTTTGCCCCATTTTGGGCACCCTGGCTCTGAGTATAAACCCATGGTGCTCGAAACAAGGTTCCCCGGCAGCAAGTGGTTAAGAGCTTTTGGAAATTGCCAACAGGATGTATGGTTTTTCCCAACAGGCTTTGGGACTTCGTGTCACGCACAGCAATACGGAGGTTGCACGAGAGAGCAACATTGTCTTCTTGGCTTGCAAGCCCTATCACATGGTTGATGTCATGGCAGAGATTGAGTCGTCGATGGCAACAGACAGGCTCGTTGTGCCGATAAGTGTCGGGACACCAGTAGAAATGTTTGAAAAGGTATTCAAAAAGACCTCAGAGGTACCAACTGATTTAAATCGTTTCCTTGTTTCACGATATTTTTATTTTATGGACTCTATATGTAGCCTTATAATCATCATTGTTAAATAGATATATGCAATATAACCAATGAGTCTGCATTTCATAGTATTGGAACATCTTTCTACAGTAACTCAGCTGCATTACACATCATGTGGGCCAATTTCCATATAAGAAGACTTTTGTACTGTTTTTGTGAGACAACTACCATTGATATGGTTAGAGGGTGTTTTACTCTGTAAAATTGATTAACAATATCTTTGTAAAAAGCAAAATACAGTGTACAAATTTTTGACTTTTTAATTTTACATTTTACATAATACTTAACAAAAACGTGTTAACTTACAATGTACTTTACAAATGGCAAGAAGAAGTGGAATATTTGAAACTGTTACAGTGCCTAACTTGTCAGCTGCTAACTCTAAACAAATGCATCCGGGTATTTTGGTGCTTTATTGAACTGCTCTCTTGCAGGGACTACCACGTGCGCACGTCATCCGTGTCATGCCCAGCCTGCCCAACGAAGTGTCAGCTGGCATCGCTGCATACACCTCGTCCAGCAAAGCCACAACGCATGACAAAGCCATCGTTGAGGCCCTCTTCAAGCCCATTGGCTTCTGTGAGGAGGTGAAGGAATCCCTGCTGGATATCACGGCGCAGCTGGGCGGAGCCGCGTGCGCATGGGTGGGTACCCTTGATTCAGTCACTGAAAGGTGGCAGGACAAAAGGGAAAAAGTCCTTAATCCCCCCCAAAGAAAAATAGTTCTGCTTGTGTTTACATGGCCTCTGAAAACTGGGTATGTAGTTAGGAAATTTGTTTTTTCACGTTTTTGTACTGTTTCAGTGCGCAGCTGAGTGTTAACTGGGTAAAAAATAACAAAGGAGGTCAGGTGGCATCTATTTCAAATGAAATCAGCAAGACATTAAACGGTATTAGTTGCATGCCTTAAGACGTCTTTTGACCGTTGTTCACCACATGCTCTTCTTAAACTTGCAAAGGACCTCAAGTCTCATTTGTGCTTTTTAACTTCTCACATCTTTCAGGATTCCTCAGAGCCATGTGATGCATTTTGAAAGATCGAAGTACAGTAATTTGCAAAAGTTTAGGACCACCCACAGGAAATGCATTAACCTGAAGGAAAACCAAACTTAAACCAATCAATCATGGCAACTTATGGTTATTTTGAATGTGTAACCTTGGTACCTTGGTTAAACATTTTTGACTACATTTCCATGATTTGACTGTTAACAGTCTAATATTCAGTGTTCCCGCCTTTATTTCTGATTGCTTAGACTGTTTTTTTTTCCCAAGCTGCCTTACAGACAAAATGTCATATCAGACCTGCCTTTGCAAAAAATTTCATTCAAATGGGTATATAGCACCACAGTGATGTTATGCACCACTGTAAAATCATGTTAAGTAATCATTTGGTGAGACAATGTAATGCAGGTCCAGTGACAGAAATACCAATAAAATTCCAGGTAGTCTTAAACTTTTGCAAATGACTGTAAGCCGTCAGGGTTTAAGAAATACATTGTAAGATTGCCACTTGTAAGCATGTTCGTGTTATGTAGCGAATGTCACTGAGTACATGTATACAAAATGTGTGAGTTTCTGTCTGATTTCCTCCAGCATGCCATGATTATTGAGGCTCTAGCAGATGGTGCTGTCAAGATGGGAATGCCCCGAGACCTAGCCAACAAACTAGCCCCCCAGTCAATGATGGTGAGATCATTAATGAATTGGGTGGGGGAAGGAGTAAAATAAGGCCAGTACTCCACCCCACCCCCCACAAAGGCAACTTTTTAAAAATTTCATTGGGACCATTTTTGGGGACTATTTCACCTCCCGTTTCCCCCAAATTGTTGAAGAAGCCAAACATTTAGCCTGAGAAGGCAGATTAAAATATAAGTGTTCAGTTTTTGTTTTCCCCCAATTTCTTTTTTGCAAATGAGCCGCTACAAAAGCATTTGTATTTGTTCAACATGTGACTGGTCTTGTGATAGGACTTGTGCCTGGACTTACGGATGCTAGATTTGTCAATGGACGTGTGATGGGCTCAACTACAACGCTGTCCATCCTTTGGTCATTTTAGCAGGCAAAAGAGACTAAAACAGTAGAACTGGTAAAGGGCTCACAGTGGCCAGCAAAAATTAAAAGTCAAAAATTAAAAAAAGGAACTGGTTGGTGAAATGCGAGGAATAAAATGCAGCTTTCAAGAAAACATGAATTTTTGAGTGCTATCATTTTATTACAGTTTTTTCATTTTGGCAAAGGTGACAAATATTGCCTTATGTAAAAAACATGCTCTGAACGAATGATATTTTACAGAGGCATGATCACTAAAGAATAGAGGACTTGCTAAAGATCTGTTAACCTTTTATGCCTTTTTTTGTGACTGACAATCAGTAACTAGTGGTGCAGCAAAAATAGTCATGCGCATTGCTCTCAGATCAAATCACCTGAACGGTCCACAGTTACCTTTCTGCTATCTTGAAATCACTACATGATGTATGAGCGTGCTCCTGGCCTAATAGTATGTTCTTGCTCAGCCACTGGTCACACCCTCACTGACTGGCTGCACAGGAGCGTACTCCTGCATGTGGATATGGGTAGTAACCGGCTCGAACGCAGCCAAAAGGTGTTCCACTCTTACAGTAGAGTGTTTCAATGTTCCGTGTATATTCTGTCACTTTCATGTGGTTCTTTTGTATCCAAAATGTACTTTTTCCCCCCCAGGGTGCCGCAAAGCTGATTATGGCTAAGGGGATCCATCCAGCCCAAGTGAAAGACAATGTCACGTCACCCGGGGGGACAACGATACGAGGCGTCCACATCATGGAGCAGCGCGGCGTGCGAGGGGCCATCATGGATGCAATGGAGGGTGCTGTGCTGTACGCTCGAGAAATTGCCAAATTGTGATGGAAACGAGTTGCCTCTGTAGAACTGTCTGAAGTCAATTTTTCACATAAGGTCAATCCGCTAAGCCGAGACCACTGCAGAGCCAAATTTTATGTTGAGCAAAAATGAGCAGAGAGCCAATCTAAAGTAATGTCCTTTGAATGGATTTTGGCTGTTAATTGGCATTTTTTAGCAAATAGTTTCTGTGCTTTGTGTTTCTATGCTTTCTCACAAAACTGGTTCAAAGGAACAACCAAATCATTTTCCTTCTCAATGTGCACAAATTGATAGAAGTGCATGTTGGGCCTTTTTCTTAGAGCTCTCAAGCACACAAATGTGCTACAAGTAGAAAACATGCTCAGCAGAAAGAGGTTACCAGCCAAAGAGCATGTGACACATGCAACTTTACACTGGTTCCCAACTCTCTGCAGAGCATGTAAAGTTGCTAAGCAAAGTAGGCTCTGCAAATTATAGGCACATAATTTTAGAAGTGCTCGAGTGTCCGTCAGAAGCACTGCAATATGCGAAGCCGACAATTATGGACAAAATCAATACTCAGATTATTCAAATGAATGCTGCATAGACAAGTAAAAGTTAATTGGCATTCGCAAATTATTAATTTGAAAATATAAGCCACTGAGATGACCGTATTTATGGAGTCCTTTTCATTTACATAAAAATGCAGTGTGCTACTGTATACATGTAAATACACAAATATTTTTCCCACTATGCAGTACTCATTTTGGCGGACCTTTATTAACCAACCACATAAATAGGACCACAGAAGTGAATGCAGCTTCAGACTGTGGGATTTATTTCCAAATGAACTTGACTTGCAAAACCAAGTTATCTTTGTCTGACCATGGTGCTCCAATTGTACCATCAATTACATTTATTTTGTTAGGCAGTAGGCAAAGGTATGCCGTCACCACTAGCTGACACATAAATCGCACACAACATGCACAATCAGTAGCATTTAAAATAGGTTTATTTATACAAATAATTGTTCCCAGTAAACTGTTGTTTGTATCAGTGTTCAGACCATTTAAATCAATGGTTCTACGCTTGTCACATTGCAATGTTTTTTTAAGAGAAAAGTGATTTTGATATGCCAAACAAAACCAAATGCCAAATAAACTAATAATAATAGTACTAATAATAATTCAGGCATTTAAAAAAAGTATTCTTACACAAACTGGTATCTCTACCCTTTACACAAGAAATAATGTAAAACAGAATGGTAAATTGAAATTGAAAAAATTATACTGGAACACACTCCATGACTTTTTCAGCCTTGAAGTATCGTCCCCACTACTTCCTCTGTACTGTACTTTTTGTTCTGGTTGATTTGTGACTTCCAACTAATCCATCATTTAAAAGTGAAACTTAAGTGTCCAGTGCCTTCGTTACATGACGTTTTTGTAACTATACATGTACAAAGTCTTCTTCACTTTGTACTTGACTGAAGTAATTTTCAAACTTCTTTCAAAAGGCTTTGGGTCTAGAACTACTCTTGTGCTGTTCAGCCAAGATTTGCAGGCTATTAATGCAGATTTGTAAGCTGCCCTTCATAATGGTTATCAGTAAGTAGTGAAGTCGGTATTATTTTTTTAAGTATTTCTTACCACAAGCTTACTGTCTTCATAAAATGGGTAACGCATAATGAAACTTAGCATTTGAAGATAAAATCTCACCAAACACAAAAATAATATCAAAATGTGGATGGGAGCTTTTTTTTCATCTTCCTGAATTCCCTACAAAGGAACACATTCATTGTAATTTTGTTCGAACCACAAATTCCGTCCAAAATCCCATGGTTCAAAAAGAGGGATGTGGGTGCATCTGGGTGTTAGGAAGGTAGGAAATAAACCTTCTGCAAGGTAACCCTAATTAAAGTCCATGTATTAGTTTGATGCCACCAGGCCCACTTTCAAGTTGAGTTAGAGGCTTTCACACAAATCTTGCATTCTGTAAATCAGTACGGATCCTCGACATTTTTCACCTACATGATGACATTTTCATCACAATAGAGCATTGGCTGTGCCCCTCTGAACAGAGCTCAGTTTACTTTTCCTAAGGCAAATAACAAAAATGACTATTTGTTTGGCGGGATCCAGTTGCAAATACCGACTCCATTTCTTCCTTGCGAGAGCTCCTGAGGATCCACGTCGATGCAAATATTTCATGCCAATACTTTAAACATATGACGCCAGATTAGTGCTAGCTGCTATTTTCCAGTGACTGCAGGTAGTCCCTTGCAAGTACTTTCTTGGGTAGTACATCTGTGAAGACAATGGTAAACAAAGACGGTAAAATCCTAAAATTAAACGAGCTTCACAAAATTGAAGTTTGATTGGGATTCTGCCGAGCAGTATTGTGGCACGGAGGGATTACGTGAGATTGCGCTGACCAAGCCTTCACAGTTCAAAGCATGGTGTCTCGTGAACACATCCATGGCTGGTGACCTGATGTAGGTAGCAACACTACAGGAATAATATCGACTGTAGGGCGGGTGTCATTTTAAGATGGCAGGGAGGGCACGTAATCCCTCTGTGCCGTAATACGGCTCGGCAGAATCCCAATCAAACTTCACTTCTGTGATTGGATTCTACCTCGCCTAGTATTACATCACTCCATGATCACGTGAGTTGCTCAAAGATATGTGTGAATGAGACACCCAAGAAAAGCAAAAGAACAGGAGGTGCGTGGTGTACGTCAAACAACTTCACTATCTTATTACATGTTTTCAAATAACAATCACCATTACCATCAAAGGTACTTAAATGAACATGTTTAGTCAGGCATCTTCCAACATGGGTTCTTTGACTACAAAGCAATTCTTGGTAAACTGTGTGATCTAAGCAAGTAACCTAAGAAAGTACTAAAACTGTACTGTTGACTTTACAAATTATACATGTACTTAACTCCACTTCAACAAAATGAAGTAAAACTTTCCTCCAAAACTTTCCATCAATAGGTCTACTGACCCTAAGCAACAATGATTGCTCATCACTGCGACATATCCAGCAGCACATTAGCGAACGTGCCGCCGACATCGTGAGGTATTAGTGATTTATTATAAGTAGCAAATGTTGATGCATTTGACCATCCTGCACATTTCATGATGAAGTCAAGAGGCAGTCCACTGAGGTGTGCCGCTGTTGTGGACGATGCCCGTAAGCTATGAGATTTAAAACTCAGCTGTATCAATGCCAGCCTCTTCCAGTGTACACTTTAACCAGTGACTGATTGTGTCTTTGGATGCAGCTCGATGAGGCTTTCGCACTGTCATCGTTTTTGAGTGATGTCACAGTAATTTGTCACAATGACGGCAATCGCATCCACACACTTGCGGGTGATAACAGTTGGATCCCATGTTGTCTTATCAATTTTACCCGTTTTGAGATCCACTAGGGTATCAACAACCTGTAGCAAGGGCACCAAGGATGTCAGTTGAATGCCTTGCAACTTCTGAAGTTTTACATCTTCTCACTTGGAGGCAGTGCGAAGTTGGCTCCAGATCTCCGGGTTCACCTTAATGCAAGCCATTGCATTAATTGATTGCATTTTCGTCTTTGCCATTTTTGTGTCAACCATTTTGGATTTCAGCATAGCATTAATCATTATTGCCAATTGCCTGCCTTGTTTTCATCACTGAAATCTTGCACAATGCCCTCCAAGAAACCTGTGTTGTCTGCATTGTCGTATGGCGTGCCTGTTGGGTTTGCTTCGGTGTTGTCGACTTTTGAAAGCAGAAGTTCGTTAAGAACTTGATCAGGATTGCCAGCTGGCAACTCATCTGAAGCCATTGGCGGGACTTGATTTTCATTCCCTGGCCATTCTGGCTCTGTTGGCCGAGTTACAGAGCATGGACGAGGGTTCATGGCACTTGCCAGTTGCTGGAAACCCTCCTGCATTTCTTTGCAGAGCATCTGAATAGACTGTTGTTGCATTGAAATTAATGAAGTGGTTAAGCAAATAGTAACGTGAAAGAGTTTTCATACATTGAAGACGAATACAAAGTTGAAGAAAAATTGTGTCTAAGAAAAATTCATTGTAGCTGCAGTTTAAATGATTCAAAAAATATTACTTGCCTGCTAGAAATTGAAATGCGATGTCCTCATCCACCACCTGAGCCAGGTTACCATACGCCAGGCTGGTCTTGTTTTGGCTTCGGTTGTAAGACTCCTGTGCGATGTGCTGCACAAACAGTTCCTGAGTGGTACACAAAAGAGGCACATGTACAGTGTATGGAGTATGAACAGACCACTGAATTGATGGCGCCACTGAGATGTGATCTTATCATGAATAGACAATACTGTGGCTTTTTTGGATAAGGAAAATGTAAAATCCCCCCAATGAGGGCCTAGCCCCACCACTGTGGTCAAGTCTTATCTGCTGATCAGACTATACAACGATCACTCGCCTTGACGGCTGGCCACCCACGCACTCACCGACCACAAAGGAGGATTGTGAAGTTCGAGTTGGAGAACCTATTCCTAAAATTCCCCCTCAATCTCACCCCTCCCTGGGCCCACCTAAGAAGACGACACCATGCTGAATATTTGTAGGATTAATTTTATGAAAGAGAACAGGATTTCTGAGGGAAAATATTGGGTAAGAATTATGACGGTGACAAAAACACGCACTCTAAAAATAAGTATGTCGACAGCGTCCAAGCTCATTTGCTAGAACACTGCTGATTGGTTGCTGAAAAGTTCAAGTAACAAGCCAATCTCTGATGGGTTAAGATGAATGACCATCCTTCACTACCAGTTATCTGCTGTGCACAGTGAATATGCATCAGTGTGAGTGTCGATTAACTCGACTGCACTGCCACTAACTTAACTACACGAGCAAGTCACATTTTCTCCGAATTTACTGAGCTAAATTTACAAAATAGAGACAGCATAGTTAAAAGAACATTGCCTGAACTTTTGGGGAATAACTTGCAAAGGAAAACAAAACAGACAGGTCTGCAACTACACAATACCCTTACAAATGTATAGGCTTGGGTATTGGTTCAATGCCAGCTGTTTAAAAGCAATGTAATGAGTGACTACATGTACATGTACATGTAAATGAGTGACAAAATGACAATAAACAGTAAAAGTGAAATGTATGTACAAAGTTTTGGTATTTGCAAACTAACATAAGTGATTGAAATGTGAAAATCTCATGGGTGTACGAATGTATACTGGCCATGTCTATGCAGACATCACTTATTTTTCCCTACAGTGGGATGCCAATCAACCATCAGAAAGCAGGAAAATGTCCTGAAAACTAGAAAGGAGTTAGAAACAAGCATGGAGTTAGAATTTTCTAGACCAGTAGGATTTGTGCTTAGGGAATCACACAATGGCACATGTCCAACAAGTCATGCATGTCCATGTCATGATGTATGGACAAAGACAAAAAGTTTTCAACTTTTCCATCTCATCTGTGTGACCTGTCATGCCTGTTCCACTACACCCTTGGCCTGAAGTGTAGGCCTACACTTTGACATGTCTGAGGCTACAGTCATGACATTGACAGTCTTCCTTCCTCCATGACTATGGTGCAATTTCAACTTTAAGTAGGGAGTCCAGCAATTTCCAGGTTTTATTGTTGTTCCCCACAAATCAAATACCACTGGAAAGAGAATTTCAAAACAAATCAAATGGTATGAAATCTAGCTCAATAGCTGTAAGTATAGTGAAGTTATTAATTTTTTGTTATTCAAATTAGGTGTAATCAGTCCGTCACT